CAAGCCATGGGGACAAAGTTATCTCTCAGTACTGCCTTCCATTCTCAGACTGATGGACAATCAAAAAGGACAATCCATACACTTGAGGATATGCTCCGAGCTTGCGTCCTTGACTTTAGGGGCCATTGGAACGACCATCTGCTCCTGATAGAATTCGCCTACAACAACAGCTACCAAATGAGTATTGGCATGGCTCCATATGAGGCGTTATATGGGCACCCATGTAGATCGCCGATTTATTGGGAAGAAGTGGACGATAGAAAATTGTTTCGTCCGGAGTTGGTAGAGGAGACCACGTCTAAAATAATTAAAATCAGAAAGAACATTCAGACGGCTCAGAGCAGGCAGAAGAGTTATGCGGATACCTGGAGGAGAGATTTAGCATTTAAGAAAGGCGACTGGGTGTTCCTTAAGGTCACTCCTTTCAAGAAAATTAGTAGGTTCGGCAGGAGGGAAAAACTGAACCCCCGATTTATTGGACCATTTGAAGTCTTAGACAGGATTGGTACTGCTACCTACAGACTAACACTGCCTCCATAGCTCTCCAAGGTCCACAATGTGTTCCATGTATCCATGTTACGTAAGTACAACCCGGACCCCTCTCATGTCTTGACTCATGAACCGCTTCCACTGCAAGAGGACTTATCTTATGAGGAAGTACCAGTTGGTATCATGGATCGAAAGAGCAGAATACTCCGCAACCGGGAAATATCATTTATAAAGGTCGTGTGGCAGAACTACATGCCAATGGAGGCTACATGGGAGATAGAATCAGACTTTAAAATCCAGTATCCCCATTTATTCGATCAAGAGTAATGAGAGAAATTTGGGGGACCAAATTTCCTTAAGGGAGGGAGAGTTGTAACACTCCAAATTTATTATTATTTTTATGAATATTATTTTGTTTTATTTTAATTTTTTGTAAATTTTATATGAATTAAATGATTATTTATGTAATAATATATGGTTTTAATTAGTCTAATTTAATTAAATAGAAATAAAAATAATAATAATGATAAAAATGGGTAAAATTATTTTTGAGACTTAATTGAAAATAATTTTGGGAAAAATTGGTGAAAATTCGGATTCTTGGGATATTTTTGAAAAGAAAATCGAAAACCGATGCTTAAAACGTAATTTAAAAAAATTACACCACGTCAGCAGCCCCGGCCAACCAGGACATGCCGCATTGCAGAGACGCTAACGCGGGAGGCCAAGCGGAATGGAGCTGCGTGGGCGATCCGTATGCGCGCGATTGGATGGCTGAGATCTGTCCACGCGCGCACGGACGGCCCAGATTCATTTCTAATTTAATCGTGATCGGACGGTCTAGATTAAATCACGATGGACGACTCAGATTAAAAGTGGAATGTTATTAATAATCTCATCCACCCCAAACCCAAACCCTAGCCGCCAGAGCCCTCGCTGGAGAAGACCGCCCAGCCACCCCAGGAACCGACCGCCGCCACCCGCCGCCGCACCGGAGCACTTTCTAGCCATCAAATGAGGTAAAAATTTTCTCCTTGGCTTGGATTTCGATTCTAAACCCACCTGTGGTCAAATCGGAACCAAACCACCAGCCAATTGGCTAAAAATGCCGCCGAAGCCCAGCGGCACCGCCGTGGGTTTCCTCGATTTTTGCCTCTGATGAGGCCCTTCCAAATTCCCGTTCAATGTAATTTTTCCACCATTGTGACCACTGTTTCTTCCTCTACAGGTTGATCAGAGAAAAACGCCAAATCGCGACTCGCACCGGAGGAGCCGCTGCACCGGAGAGCTCCGCCGCCGGTAAGTCTCAATTTTTTGTGTTTTTTTGGCCCACCGAGGGCCTCACGTGTGTTTTCTCGTAGGAACTGGTGCTAGTTTGGCTGAATTCAGTCGAAAACGGCCGAAAACAGCCAACCCGAGGCGGATCACCACCACGGGCGGTGACGCCGTCGCCGGAGCACGGCAGAGCCGCTGTGCCAAAATTTTGAAATTGGTCGAATAGGCCCTGGGTCTAATTTTGAGTATTTGGGGACATGTATAGGTACAGAAAATGTGTTTCAGTTCTCGGAGAGAAATTCAGAGAATTTAGGGACTGCTCGTAGGCGCAGTGAAAAACCAATTTTAGACTCCAAATCAAGTAAGGATCTCTTACCCTATTTCCTATCACGAAATTAAAGTTTAATAAATGATAAAACGGTATTTTATGAATCAATAGATATGTATAATTAATTAAGATTGCTAATGGAGTGGGAATCTGATATATTTTTTGGTCAGTTCTTGTTTTATTTATTTTACAGTTTTAAGTGTGTTACGGTATGTGGCTTATTTATTCTATGATTTTGAATGCATGAATCACTGTTTGCTTCACTGCTGCTTGATTTTGTGAATTTAATATATACTTGCCTTGTGTATGTACATTTCTTGCTTAAATAGTTATGTTTGAATGGGTAACGAAGACTAAGGATAAATAAGAATGGAATTGAATTGATAATTTGGTAAGTTGACAGCCTTACTAGATATCTTGGAAGATGGTGGACGGACTGAGTCCATAGGGAACCTTACCGGGAACGTTGTCTCATACCGGACGGGGTATGGAGACTATAAATGTTTTAGCGCCCATACTAGACGGGGTATGGGGACGGCCCGCTTCACCTTCATATCGGACGGGGTATTGAGGTTTATTATCTTGGCGCCCATACCGGACGAGATATGGGAACAACTCTGAAATTAAGTTGTTAAGGTGAATGGTTCACGTGTAGCGGGAACCCCTATGGATTCCCATGGATACTGGTAGGCTGATAAAAGAGAGAGTTTGTTGCCTGATGATTGAAATATAAAAGTATGACACATGTTATGTTACAGAGTGCATATAATTTCATGATATTTATAATGTTATTATTTTCATAAGTTGTTTTCATGAATCTCACCGAGATAAGTGGAAAGTAAAGGGTATTATTATTGATAAATGAATTTGTTACAAATTGTGCTCCATTGGTTGTTTTTGTTTTCTACCATCTTTTACTTCTGTGACAGTGAGATAGTGTAACGTCTTTACTGGGCTAGTGTAGCTCATTCTTTACTTAACCATTTCATATCAGGAGGACTTGTTTCCCGAGACCGTTCCGCAGGAAGACGGCGAGTAGAAGCCTAAAGATTTTATAGTTTTCCTTATAGCATTCATTTTTAGTATTTTCTTTAGTTAGCTTATTCTTTCATATCTTTAATACGTCTTTCATATTTTTAATACGTTTTGGTTATTGTGTAAGGGATGTTAACCATAATCTATTTTATTTTGCTTCCGCACTTAGAATTTTTAAATACATCTCCTTTTAATTTCCGGGGCCATTACACTGGCGGTTAGGGTTAGGGTTCGGTGTGAAATGAGAATTTGTACCTGTCTCCCTTTAATATGGATCATCCGTCACGTTTGATCTTGACTGTCCGATCGCGTTTAAAGAGAAAATAAATCTGAACCGTTCATCGCGATTTGATTTGGACTGTACAATCGTGTTTAAAAAGAGAACGGATCCGGACTATCCACGCGTGCGGAAACAAATTTGGACCGTCCAATCGCGGGAACACAGATTGCCAGTGTGGCCTCCCGCGTGACACTAAGTCAGCATACCTTGCCACGCGGCGCGCTCCGATTCGTAAGGGCTGCTGACTGGGCGGTCCTACGTGGCACATTTTTTTAAAATTACGTTTTGATCTCTAATTCCGATTTTTCTTTCCAAAATACTCCCCGAACCCAAATTTTCACCTATTTTTTCTAAAAATATTTTTAATTTTATCGTCCACTTATTTTTTCTTAATTTTTACATTAAATAAAAATTTATAAAATTAAAATTTATATTTCTATATATTAATTTTAATTTTTAAAATAAATTCCAAGTATTACATCAATAGACATTGAAGACTAGAAAAGAAGGGATTCGGCAAGTATTACCATAATTGAGTTTGAAATTCTACATTTTTTTACCTCTCGCCTCCATTTCCCATTCCTCAGCAACCGTTCACTCAATCTTCCTCTTCCTCAAACTCTCCCTAAAATTTCACACCAGTTTGTTTCCTTCCTTCTTCCTTTACCTTCTCGGACTCTCTCATTCTTCTCTTTCTATTTTACCCTTTTTCATTTTCTTCCTTTTATACGCAACCCAGCTTCCAATCCTACCCGTTTGAAAATCCCTCCCCTAATTTCTACTGTTCATTTTATCTCTCTATATCTCTCTCCTATTCTCTCTCTCTTCTTCACCTATGCTAAGTTATTACAATTTAAACGAATCTCATATTTTTTTAGAGTTTCACAAGCTGGTAAAAATCACTTTAAAAATAATACAAATAAATTTTTGTTTTGGACTCTTTAATTACATTTTCAATTACATTCCACAGATCAAATTATTGTTAACATATTTGCATATTTAAATTGTAAAGATTCAGCAGCTATTAAATTTAAATTGTAAATTTAAACATACAGTTGTTCCAGTAAAAGATTCAGCAGCTACCGCAACCTCAGGTGGAACTCCAGGTTTGATAGTCAATTTATATTTAACACTTGCTTTTTTAGTCTCTGTTTGTGGGTGACATAAGAATTCTCGCAACAAAACAACATTTGTTCGACATAAATTCACAAGATTTCTTTGTATTTTTTGCACAAAATATGACAATTTTAGTTGCATTTAAAATTTAAAATTTTATTTGATTTCTACGTTTTTTTGAGATAATTTATTTTTTGAGATATTTTTAAAATATTAAAACTATTTTTTCAATAAACTAAGAGATATAAAAAAAATTCTTATGGAATTTAAAAAAAAAATTGTTCCAAGTGAATTTTTTATTAGGGCATTTTAAAAATTTTATATGTAAAAATTTTGTTATTTAATAAAAGATTTCTAAAAAAGTTTCTCAAATTTATGTGTTAAAAAAATGCATATATTCTTTAAAAAAAATCATATAGAAAAAGATATTTGAGTGAGGCTGTAACGAGAATCAATTAACACAACTTGTGTTATTTAATATTAACCGGTCCAATCAAATTATCCCAATTGAATAAATATATATATATATATATTTAAAATAAACAAAATTCACCAACATCTAAGCTGGAACAATTCGACCTCACATCAAAAAAACACACCACCCCCCCAACCCTAAAATCTCTAATCCCACCACCATCCAACCGCTCTTCAAATTAACACCACTACTCGTCGGAGCAACAGCAGGTCCCTCAAATTCCGCCGGAGAATGCGCTGGAGAGATCCCGCTGTATCTATGCCTTGCCGCCATAACCACCACAATCACCTTCTGCCCTTTCTCGCAATGCTCCTTCGCTCCGCTGATGAAATAGAATGCTCCTGATCTGTCCAGCTGAACCTTGCTGTTGCCATCTTTGTACTCTGCGATGGGGTTCGATGTGCTGCAGCTCAGTAAGCTTCCCTAGTTACTTGCATCACCGAGTCTTTTTCAGCGTCGTACTTCCACACTGAAACACAATAGAAT